GTTTATTCTAGTTTATACCTTATTCTAACATGCTCACAAATGGCCTACTTCAGATAAGTTTGTTCTGAAACTTTATTCAATATTTTCTTCATCTGGAAGTTCCTAGTTATGAACTTATAGACTCTAAACCTCCCAACTTGTAGCTGAATATCAAGTCAGTCTGTTTTCTGACTTTTGTCACCCTCCTCCCTGGGAACCATCATTACATCTGTAAGAATTACATCTTTCAAATGTAGTAGGTTCTGTGAGGTTCTGCTTATCCCATATTGTGGTTTTCTAATCAAATGATATTTGTACTGTGATATCAAAATCTGAAGATACAGATCTGGAAATATCGTATGTTATTTGGTTTCTCTGTAAGAAGCAATGAGAAGAGGTTCATGCCCAAAATCTCTAAGTCAGCCAGGAAAACCCAAATCACTCTCTGCCAAGACCTCATAAGTTTAAAAGAAATATGGAGAGGGCGCTGCATGCATAGTGAGCTGGGAGAAAAGCATCGCTGCCAAAACACAAGTGGGATGATTTGGAAGGTCGGTTGTCAGGAGCTGTCATTTGTCCAGAGAATGTTTTCATTATGGTTTTGCACAACTATTTCAAGTTTATTTGTTCAATATTGTTCACAACACCAGGATTTAGAGTTCTGGGATGAAGCATCAAGTCTTCCCATTCCTCCCTGCTCCGGGAGCAGAGGAGTCCGTGAGGACACGACCTTGTGAGTCTCGATGAGTCACGGCAGCCGAGCCCAGAGCACTGCGCTCGCAGGGCAGCTCTCCTGCCGCACGGGGCCCTCGAACGCGCTCTCGTCGGCCGGGCTCTGCTCACATGTGGGGCCAGGTGCCGGCCTGTGGCCTTGCGGGGCTTGTGCTTCTGTTTCCCTTGCATGAGAAATGTCAAAATAGGTGTAAATATTTAATACTGAACTCTAAAGTTGAGGGTTATGTAAGTGGCGTTTGGGGACAGTGTCTTCTTTCAGCCTCAGCAGAGCTCTTATGTAACCAAGCGAGGTGCCGCGGAGCGAGCAAGCCGAGTGCTGCTGGCAAGAGCTTATCCCGAGCTGCCTCCCGCTCGTGGGCTGCAGGAGTCTGCTCTGCAGGACCCGCTCCACACGGCCGCTCGGTGTCACCAGAAAATGCTGCTCGTGGCTGAAGGGGCCCCGGAGAGCGGGACGAAGGGGATGTGGTGGGGGAGGCCACGGTGCCGCCTGCTCCTCTGCCCTTCGCTGGTGCCTCATTTAACAGGAAGCACTGAGGGGCAAAAAGGGTCTTCTTCATATAAATATGGTAGTATCTTTTGCAACTTGGGGATCTTACTAAGGAAGACAGCTTACGATATTTCTCTCTCAGTTTTCTGGTTATCATTCTTGGTCCCCAAGTGAATCCACTTGGCAAAATAAGCAGCGCTGCTTGTGATGTGAGCAGCAAGAACCCAGCGCATCGATCAAGCGCTGTAACGCAGCGGCACAATTCGCTTTAATCACGTCAACACCAGAGCTGCAGCTAAGGAAAAACGACTTTACAGCCAGCTATTAAATACAAAGTTTTAAGCACAGGAACTCTTGTCTTTCTGATGACAAAAACAGTTTGACTGACTAAAATTGCTTCTGGGGGCGTTATGAGATTTTCCTAGGGAATTTAAATGCCACGAGGTATTCTCAGCTTAAAAATAGAAAAGTGTAGGTTGAAATCAGTAGCTGAGAAGTATGTGCTGTAGGTTGGGATTTAGCAATACAGATGTTCTCAGGTTTTTTTTTTTTTTTTTTTTTTTAAGTATACTTTCTCTGGTTTAAAAATTGCTATGGTCCAGCTTAAGATGATAGGGTTTTTACTTGCAATTCTTATTGTAGTCGAGTCTGTTGTAGTTCAAGCAGCTATAGAAAATCTCTTTGTATCTGTGTTGGGATTCCCCCCCCTGACAGGCTGCCCAGGCCCCTGGCGTGTTTGGAGCCCACGGCTCCTGCGCCCCGGTTTAGGGGATGAGGTTCAATCCCCAGCTGGTGTGGGTTTGCACCTATCACTTACGTACGTTGCTTTGAGATACTTTTTTTCTCTGAATACTCTTTACATTTCATTTCTGTCTTTCCCTTTCATCTCCTTTCTACAGAACCATCTTTCAGCAGTCTTTGCTGACCTCTTTCTGGTCAAAATTTTAAGCTTCTACAATTCCATTCTCTCTTCCCTTTTTTTGGAGGATGCTCTGCTGAGATGCCCCCTTTATTTCTGAAGTCCTTTCAGGCCCTTGGTTGGGCCCTCCCACCGCTCGGGGGGCGGGAGGCCCAGCCATGGTTCCTGCACAGCTTTTGGGATAAGCTGAGTCCCTGTTCCGGCTTCCCCTGCTGTCTGGTGCCAAGGAATCACAGAATGGAAGCCACAGCCCTGCTCACTCCTGACTCAGCCAAGTCTGTCCTCCCTTTCAGTGAGGTGTGAGTTTTCTGTCTCATGAGCATGGGTCTTCTGGGAACACACGCACGTGTGTTCAGTTATGGTAGAAAATGTTTCCATATTAAAATCTTGATTACTTTACCGAAAATGACTTCTCAGGTGGATAGAAGCTGTGCTAAATATAAATTTTAAATGACTGTTTCACAGTTCATCGTCTTGGAGTTAAACTCTGCTACATTCATATCATCTAGTTCTGCCTTAAAAATATTTTCATGATACTTCTCCATCACTGCCTTTCAGTGATAAAAATTCAAGCATTGGTAATACTTGATTTTGTCATGTCATAAACTAAGTACTACCTTTTGAAAGTTTAACAGCAATTGTAGATCTTAACACAATTTTTAAAGGTCATATGAACAGTCATTAGATCATTTAAAATACCTTTTGTGTGGTCTCCTTTGACATACTGTTCTTTACTCTTTTGTTTGTCTCCTCTGTATTAGTTTTTTTTCTCATATATAAGTTGACACCCTATCACTCTGTGTACTAGGGAAAAAGAACAGACCATGTAAGATGTAGAAAGTAGGTGTTTGTTTTTTTTCCTATGAATCCATGCATTTCCTTCCTCTGAATGCATATAGCTCTTTATATAATTTCATTAAGCAGTGTGATATAATGGCAGTGGACAAAAAAAGGAAATTATTTTCCCTAAGTATATGAAAAAGAATTTTATAAGCCCATAGCAATAGAGAATCATATTTTCATTTTTTTCTATAAAAAGGGAATGTTCAGATTTATTTTCTATTCAATATTTATTTTCTAGTAAAATAGAAAAGATAATTTTGAAACAAAGCCACAGCACTTTTCCTGGCAGCTAGGTCATCTCTGGCTTTTCCTAATCTCCCACATTCCTACACACCTGAAATCCTGCATCCTTGCTGGTTTTGAGGGCAGGTGAACAGATTGGGCTGTGTCAGCACCTAAAACATCCCCATGCAGAAATGCTGCTTTTTTCTGGACAGCAAGAACCACCCGACCTGACATCTGGGAGCCCTGGATTAAATTCCCTCATCAGGCCAAGCAGAGAGGGATTAGGAGAGGGCAGGGTTGGCTGCACGGGGAGCTTCGCTTCTCGCCTGCCCAACTTCATGGCGCTCCTCAACCTTGCGCAGGAGCTCAGAGCAGCGGATAGAGGCTCCCAGTCGGTGCCTCTCGGGTCCTGGCTGGTCGCTTTAATCCTGAGCTGGGTTGGGTGGAAAGAGGATGAGCTTGTCCACAAGCAACACCTGCCTATGATGATGCATGAGCCAGGCCAAGTTGTGCCTGTGGGGATATTAAAATCCATGAAGTACCTCAGCATCTCCTCCCTCCATCTACAAGTCTTATTTCTGTCCATGTCTGACCCGTAATTTCCTTTCTTAGGGCGCTCTCACCCAAAACTTCCTTTCTCCCTTCACCAGGGCTTTCCTCCATGTCAGTGCAGCTCTGTTTGACCAAACACACACAAAATAAACGAAGCACATTTGAACCCCGGTGATTTTCACTGGGTTATGGAGAATTTTCTCCATGTTTGATGAGTAAAAGCACGAATTATTGCTCAATCCTGAGACTTGTCAAATTTAGGGATGCTTTCCAGGAACTTGATTTGAGCTTGGTCTGTCCAGGGCCAGAATGGGATTTTCATGCTTAAGGACATGGCTGCTTTGTCTCTTTCAAGCAGTTGATTTTTCAAGTTTGCTGCTATAGTTCAGATTAAAAAGATATCAGGGGAGTATGACATAGTGTTAACTCTTGATCCAGCAGAATATCTTCATGCAGAAATGACAGAAGGTTTTCAGTGAAAGCATAAGAAAACCTGCTCCAGAATAGGGTAGAATAAACGCCACCTTAGCAGGACTATGCAGAAGTCCCAAAGAGCTGAGCAAACTTCAAGTTCAGCCAAGATTTTAAAATAGACAAATAAAATCCATCTCGTGCTGTGCTTGCCTCAAGTTGTGTTTTTTTGTGAGGAGCAAGAGAGGGGTTTTGCTGGGTGAAATGGAGCTTTGTGATGCCTCATTCTAGACAGTGCCTAATAAAGCGCGAGTAGCAAACTTTTTTCTTATATTTGCCAGAACAGAATTAGTTGCCCAGGGTAACATTTTAATCCAAGCAAGGCAAAAGTGAAGCCCCTGATCTAGAAAAGGGATCTAAAATCAAGCACCTGGGATGATTTAAAGGTTAAATGGGTAAAGCTCAGTAATCTTTCTAGAAAGTAATATTCTGCCAATGGAACAAATTGTACCTGTGCTTCTGTGGCTGGTGTTTGCTTCTGCTTTTAAGCAACTCCAGGTATAGAACCTGCAAAAGGGTGCTTAGTCTCGTTCTTGAAATTCCTTAGTAATAGTCATGCACACAGGTCGTGCCTTCCTGCTCGGAAAGCCTTTTTGCTTGGAAATGTGCATGGCCTCTCAATTAGGCTAAGACTCATTTTAAACTACAGAGGAAATTAGTAAGAATTATGTATGAATTTCCCTTTCGTCCACTCAGTGGAAGTTCAGTCTTTAAAACGTCTGTCTTTTGATGACTTTTGGTTATTTTCTTACTGTGCTCCACTGGACGCTTCCTCGCCCTGTCTTTCAGGATGCGGAACCGCTACAGGAGGAGCCGAGGATGAGGGCGAGGCTGAAGCTGGCTGGATTGAAGGTGCCGCCATCCTGCTCTCCGTCATTTGCGTCGTACTCGTCACTGCCTTTAATGACTGGAGCAAGGAGAAGCAGTTCCGGGGGCTGCAGAGCCGCATTGAGCAGGAGCAGAAGTTCACAGTTGTCCGAGGTGGGCAGGTCATCCAGATCCCGGTGGCGGAGATAGTAGTTGGTGACATTGCACAGGTGAAATATGGTAAGTCCTCTGCTTTTTTCAACTTCATTTACATCTCTCCTCCCTCTTCTCACTCTTGCGTGGGATAAAGTATATTTTAGACTTAATTTTTAGTACTTGATGCAAAGGGTAAGGAGTTATGTGGTTATTGTCTGCGGTAGCATAATTCCTACCTGCTGCCGTTAGGGCAGAAGGAAAGCTTCATCTAAGGTACTTGCTATAAAATGGCATTTTGGTAACTTTATTTTTGTATATCTTCGCTACCTTTCTCTGAGAAGAGCAGTAATCCTCTTTTATGGAGGATTTCAGTATGTGGCCTTCTGGGTTCCTTTCCAGTTAGGAGTAAAAGGAATTATTTTTAAACGCCCTGTGATGGGGAGTGGTGCAGCCAGGATTGCTCCAGCACTTGGGATTGGCAAGTTTCCCTGGATGGGGCCTTTCTGCTGGGTTGATGCTTTATGGTCCAGTTCACCATATGCAAGCTCACACTGAGATAGCAAGAGGCACAAAGTACACGAGCCCTTCCCTTATAGATTTAAGAGAAAAGTCATGGTGATGTAGACGAACATGAGCAATATTAGCAAAAACAACCCATTGTGGTAGCTGTTCTTTCAACTTTGCTTTCATTTTACATTTTTGTGTAATTGTTGTTGGGAATGTGATTATGTAGTCCTAAAAGCAATCTTTCTAAGCCACTATTCCTGTGTTTTTTACCGAAAGGTGATCTTCTCCCTGCGGATGGGATATTTATTCAAGGAAACGATCTTAAAATTGATGAAAGTTCTTTAACTGGAGAGTCAGACCAGGTCCGCAAATCTGTCGACAAAGACCCAATGCTGCTGTCAGGTAAATGGGCTGCATTTTGCTGAGCTTACCCCGCACACTGCTTTGTTCGTGCTCTTTTCTTGCCACATCATCAAGTTTTGGTAATCTCTAAGAACACCTGCTCTTTGACTGCTGGCCTTGCACACTTCCTACAATTGGTACACTTTTGGTTTTTGATTTTGTGTTAATAAAATAAATGTTACGATCAGAAATAATAAGTGAAAAGTAATGAAATGCTTTTATAGGAAAAGTATAATTCTAGGAAATGATTATTTTAGCTCATTAAACACAAGATTTAACTGTTGATTTTTAATGCCTTTTAAAGCATCCTTAAACACTTTTGTTTCTGCATTTACTAGAAAAAGAAACAAACAGTAAATGTGTTAAAAGGAAATTGATAAACTAAATATTGTAGATTTGACTTACGGTCAGTAGTAGTCAAGATAAATTCAAGTTATTTGTAATACTTGCATTTTGCAATATTCTACACAATAAATAGGTTGCAAAGAAAATGCAGTTTTTATATAGGTTGCCTGTCAACAGATTTTCTCTCAGATGTGATCTGGAAATGACAAGCCGCTGATGTCACTATGTCAGAGATCCCCAAGCAGTGGTTTTAAAAACAGAAATGGCAGTTTTCCTTCCTGGAAAGCGTTGCGGCTGCTGCAGAGCCGCGCGGGGCCCTTGGCCGCGCCGCAGCCGCGGGGCCTTCGGGCAGGTTCCCTCGGGAGGCGGGCGCAGATGGTCAGGCCGGTGCCTGGCGGCGTCTCCCTGGCGTCACCGTGGGAAGGGAAGCGCCGCTTCCGTCTGCACGGAGGAAGAGCTGCAAAAATGCAACAGTTGGATTTGTGTCACAGTTTGTCATTTTTGTGAGCTGAAATTTGGTGAAAGATAAACACCCCGAATCAGGAAGTATTATTTACACGGTTGGCACCTGAAACAGCATTCTTTATGTTCACTTAGATTCAATGGCATAATTAAACTAAATGAGTTTCACTGCTTAATGTCCTGTTTAATCATCAAGACAGTCATTTACGATACTCAAGAAGCAATTCTAAAAATGCAAGTGCTGACTGAAACAGATGGTTCATTTCCATCTTTATATAGCACGTTTGGTACCACCTAGGAAGGCAAAAATGGAAATATAAACTCTGATATACCTGAAACCAAAATAAGCAGCATCTTTTCTATGCTTCCCCCTTACTCCTGTGTAGAAGTTGTTCTTTCTTTAGGGCTGTTAGCAGCTAACCCACCTGGTGACTGCTCGCTCTTCACTGCAGCTGATGCATCCTTTGAGCTTCAGAGAGTTCATAAGTTCAGAGATCCGTGATTTCTAAATACAGAAGCTTTGAACATGAGTCTGGCGTCAGTATTAGACACAGAGAAGTACTTTGGGGTACCCTATACTCTAAAGGTAAAATAGCTGTCAGGAAAACAAGATCTTAAGGGACTCGTTATTTAACATTTTTTGTCAAGAGTTTAGATTAATTTGATTACAGTATGAAAGGGTTGCACGGAGTAACTTGCCTAAGAGAGTTCTCATGGAATTGAAACTAATAGAGCATTACTTCATCCTAATTTAACCTTCATAACTTTTTATTTTTTTTAAATCAATGCACACAGAAAGGATGCAAAACACAAGTCTCTCTGCTCAAGAACAAATAAAATTTGTTCATCACTGTGCTTTATTAGTTTTTCTTTTTAAAAGAAGCTTGATTAAGGAATCAGGTCAGCTCTTGCCTGAAGAAAAATAGCTCAGATTTTCTCTCAGTTTCTTGCCAGTAAATACTCAAAGTCTTGCAAAGCAGAAATTCTCACAACAGAGTGTCCAACTATTAATGTCTCAATTTATTTTGAATATCTTGCAATTATATGTACATGATTTTTCTGGAAAGCTTTTTATTTTTGTTTATCAAGGATATTCTGATGATTATTTCACTTTGTAGTAACTTCAGTTACTTCTAAAAACTGCAGTGATTAAAATAGTTGCTTAGACCTGCAGATGGGTACTTCCTGTTCAGCGCTAGTTTGGTGGAAGTAAATAGGGTCAACCCCCCGAGCTGGTATACTACCTTATTTTCTTTTTTCTTCTTTTTTTAAAATTTCCAGCCTATTTGTCAAGTACGATTATTAGACTTTAGTGTTTTTCAGCAGTCTTATGTTCAGACATTTTTATCCTGAAGACATACATGCTACCTAGTTTCCTTGGTTTCTAATCCATTTATCTCTTTTCTTACTGAACTAGACTCCTTCATTTTGTATCTTTGAGTATTAATTAGTAATCAACTTCAAATTAAATACTCAGCATGTAAAATATATTTTCTAGTTGTATTGAAATTTTGGCTTCAAAAGGGAAGAGAGTCAGCTCTTCCCCATCAACGTGAAAAACATGCATTCATTCCTTAAATCCATTTGTTTAATGATAGCTGATCAAAGTCATAGAGCCCACTTCTTCATTCAAGTGAGAATAAATTAATTATACTGTAATGTAATTATACATTTTGAATTATGTTTTGCAAGACTAAGAAAAGTTGATCTCACAAGGCTCCAAGGGTGGAGAGAGAAACTTGAAATCTGGTGGGCAAAGCTAATTTTGAGACCTAGGGGCTATACGCTGCCTTTAGAGTCCTGTGCAGAACAGATGCCTTAAAATGCTAAAAGCAAGTTCTTAACTAAAACGTATTTTAAGTGCTGTTATAACTTCAAAAAGTGCCTTGTGCCGGTACAAGGCGCTGTGCATGTTCTGGCCCCAGAGACAGACGCTCGGACACCATCAGGTGCAGGCTGAGCTGCCCCTTGCGGAGCTGGCTCGGGAGGAGGACGAGGAGGAGGAGGAGGAGGCCAGGTGAAGGCTGGAGCAGCCTGTGCAGGCCGGCACACAGGCAGCTCCTGTGGGCAGGGCCCGAGGAGCTGCCACGAGCACTTGCTTGCTGCTGCCCTCCGAGACCCGGAGCAGGCCGAGCCGGGAGCTGCCCACAGGGTGTCCGGGCCTCCGCGCACCGAGAGCGCCTGTTTTGTAAACCCGTAACCTCCATTACTGCATTTTTGTTGCCGTTTGGCTGATTTCTGCTGAAATTTTCTTGGTGTTGTGATGAGGTATTTATGCTCTCAAATGAGGCTTAGGCTTGGCAGATGTTCCCTCTGCACCGTGTTTCTGTTTTCCTTTTAAGAACATGAGAGATTTTGATTATTTAGAGAAAGAGATTTTGATTATAAATAGTTGCATTGCTTAGTAGGCCTGAGGACTGCAAATGGATAAGCAGTAAGAAGAAAAAGGGTTGAAATTTTTGTAAAAAATGGGTTGCAGGGATGCATGTTTAATTATTTTTGTAACAACATGTTCCTGTATCTTTCACTTTTTCAGCTTTTCACATAACACAAATATATAAAGATGAGACTCAATCCACTAAAATATGTTTTAAAGAGCTGAGGAAGAAAGACTCTTTCCATGGCCATTCAGGTTTTGTAGATCTGAATGCCAAATAAGAGACTCCACTAGAAATAAATAATATTCCCAGCTGCAACTCTGTGGTAATGTATGATTAGTTCTAAAATATAGTTTGGTCTAAAACAAATTCATTTAGTATATGAAACACTTCTGGTTTACTTAACCATGCCTTTATCCATAATTAACCTGGTGGTGTCAATATGCTTACACCTGTACCAACTATTTTTTCTCAAAACTTTATTTCTATCTTACAGTCTATTTTTCATAGCTTTCCATTTACTTTCTTTTCCATTTATTCACACACAGCAAAGAGAATGTAAATAACAAAACCGAACGCAGTAAACTTGCACTTTCTTGCAGTGACAGGTTATCGCCTAACTTGGAGTAGTTGCTAGTTTGTGTTCCCACAAGCAGGAAGCTTCTGCCAGGCTGTGAATTTAGATGCATCTTGCATTGTTCAAGGTTCAATGATTCATCACTACGTGTCAGTTTTATTCTTATTTCTCTGTGTGGCAAAAATTCTATTTCTAGTTTTTCTTTTGTTCCTGTAAGCAATTAGCATAACAGTCAAATCTTTCAAATTAATATGTGTATTAGAATGTGGATTATATTAGTTATCTTAGAGGAAGGTCATTCTCACAATATATAGTGCGCATTTAAAAAAAAAAAAAAGAAAGAAAGAAAGAATGGAAACATTAATTTCCATGACAGGTTTGCATTGTTTAATCTTGCACTTTTAATTTTCTAAGTGAAGCAAATGTCTGAGAATATATAAAGTTAGAAATAAGCTGTAAATAAATAATTTCTACAAAATAAGTGCATGAAACACTTATCCAAAGGAATTCATTTAATTAATACAACGATAGAAATATCTAGATAATCAGATGATCATTTTTGGAAGCACCATACATTTTTATTTGTTTTAGAGCAATAGAAATCTTTGTGCATACTGAATTGTTTTTTCAAGTATTTGTCAATGTTTTATTTTTTTTCTTGATACTCAAAAAACATCTCCTTTGAAAATCTCAGTTTGAGAAATTTGAAATGATTTTCACAGGTGGATTTTTTTTCTGTGCTTGTGAATCAACCATAACCGAGAAAGATGAAATTTCCCCTATATTTAATGTGCTTACATATTTCTTATATCATCGGTTTAGTCTGTAACAGTTTCACAGAAGAGGAATGTTTGTGGCACTCCTAAAAGATGTTTTCCAAGTTGCAAGGTTTAATTATGTGAAGCTAAGTTAATTATCTTCCAAAAGCAGACGAACTTTAAGTTAGTGGCTAAATTTTTGTTGCAAAGGACACATGATTGTGTGGCTGATGTTGAATTAATGTTTTGTGGTTAATGCTTCCTAAGCTTTAGGATCAACTGTCCATTCTCATTTGAGAGTGACGATGAACAGTTGTTTTTTCTTTTTTTAGTGTCTCAACTTTATTTCAAATCATACATAAAATATTTTAATGGTTGTGCTTTTTAATATATTAGTAAAATACATCTAACTTATATCGCATATTTTCAGGTACTCACGTCATGGAAGGCTCTGGACGAATGCTGGTAACTGCTGTGGGTGTGAATTCTCAGACAGGCATCATCTTTACTCTGTTAGGTGCTGGAGGTGAAGAAGAAGAAAAGAAGGATAAGAAAGGTAAATTTCACAACACGTATGGATGCACCCAGGCAAGCACTTGGGCTTTGTATAGCCAAAGCTTTCCTCAATTCTTTGCAAATAAATGCAATTCTACAGACTTTTGGTATATGTTTTTGTCTTTACACATCACACAGGAAAAGCAAAATCTGTTAACCAATATATACGTTGGATAACAAGAAGTTTTTCCAGTGTGAAGTTGCAGACTCTCAGTACATAACCAAACGCAAGGGAATACCTGGGTATGCTCCTGTTGCCATGTTTTTGACATAAATCCATACTCATCTAAAATCTGCTAAAGTTTTGCTCCTGTGCATTTACATCTGTGTAATATTTTTTTTCTCAAACTTAGCCATAGAAATAATATCTTTCTTTGAACCTCAAAAATAAATTGAGGATAAGTTTTTTTTTTTTTTTTTTTTTTTTTTACACTAAGTCATTTAATGTCAGTGAATGACTATCAGAACAGCAATATAAGTAAAGGCATTTTAATTAATGGAGAGGTCAGAGTAAGCCTAGTAAAACAGAAGAAATTAAGTGGCAAGAAATGATAACAGACTGTTTAACTTTCATTTTAGGTGTCAGTTAATGAAATCGAAATTATCTCCAGACTTTCACCTTATTATAGAGCGATGTTGGCAATAGGTAATTTGTGGGTTGCACACTAAGCAGAAGATTTAATGTGTGTCCTTACTAGTTTTTGTTCACAGTCTTTTGCAAATTGCCCAAGTCTACTTTCAAAAATTTTCATCTCAATAAGGAAGTTGATTATAAGAGTATTTAACTCTCAGTCATATTTAAGGGCAAGTTAACATACATTTTTAGACATTTCCACTCTTTTTAATAGCTTTTGCAATTAATAGCATAAGCAGAACTTTACTGAACATTTTACATTCTATCAGATGGTTGAAATGGTTGCATGTGACTCTGTTTCTGTGAGCAGAATCCCTGTTCCTGTGATGCTTTTACAAGCTGTTGACCATTTCTGTGCAGAAATGTGCAGTACCTGCTAGGCCACCTTTCACATCAGCAAGTGTGAACAGTGTCTTAGGGTCTGATCTTGCCGTCGCTGCGCCCGGCTGCTGCGCTGGGCCCTGCGCGAGCTGGCAGGGTCTGGCCTGGCTTCGTGTGAGGGTATCGCAGGTGGGAAGCAGAGACATTGGTGTCTGCTTGCAAGTAACAGCTCTCTGCCAGAAGGTCCTGCACTTCTCTGGCTTGCCCTTCTCTGCATTTCATTTTGCCCAGGACACTGGTAATGCTCTTCTGCTTCTCTGTGGATAGCCTTGAAAGGCAGGGAAAAGCAACGCCGAGGTAGAAGGTAATGGACTGCACTACATTAATGAATAGCCAGACAGACTTTCTTTAAATATATGTAAGAATTGGTAGAGCAGACACTAAATCTAATAGGATATAGCTGTAATACCTAGCAAATTATTTTCTAGTGTTTCTAATTGCTTTGTGCTGGTGCAGAAGAGTGGCCAGAGCCACTTGCAGCTGCCACTTTGTGCTCCAGCCTCTGTAATGTTGTCTCCTATAGAAACCTGCAATTCTCTGAAGTCCCCCCAGGTGCAAATGTGTGTGTGTTGGTCTTTTGGGGTGTTTGCCTTTATTGCTGTTAACTTTTTGTAAAAATCATCATGCAGGTGTGAAACAGGAGGATGGAGATCAACTTCCAGGTAGAGTAAGAACTGTAGCACATGAAATGGAGGGCTAAGGCATTTGCTAGCAAGCTGTGGTGCAAATCAGGGTTGAACTAATGATTAATATAATTGCCTTTGAATTAGTGCAGTTAAATTAAAGAATAATTTCAGACTGATGGGATTCAAGACACTTGCATGTTTGTTCCTGGCAAACATTTAAGTGTTTACGCATTATTGGTGTTGCAGATCTTACTGCTAAGCTTGAATGCTCAGCTATTCTCCAGAAGTAAATTACACTCTATTAAATATTGAAATGTGCTATTTGCTATTAGCATGCTGTGCTGGTTAGTATGTGTATCCAACTGGAATGAAAATACGCACGAGTAAGTACAACAGCGTAAGTTATTACCATTGCAGTAATCAAATCTGCAATTTTCATGAATGCACTTTATACAAGGTGCATTTTTTAATTTTGTATGTTGTTTATTTTCTTTTCCCAATTTATCATTTTTAAATAAAACATGACCTTTTTCTTGAGTATCAAACCAGTACAGTGTGAAACAGCCTCTATGGGTCAACCCGCAAGGAAGCTCTTGAGTCTCGAACAGACTCTGTTATTGGACATCTGTGCTCTGCAGCAAACAATCAAGCACCTGAAAAAGGGCAAAACTCTATTATTTGCTGAGATTAATTTTCTGTACTGTAGCATAAAAAATAACAATAAAATTAAAGCAATAAGAACCTCTGGAAAATTTTCCAACTTTTTGTCAGGGAAGAAATATTTGCCTGACCAATTTCTTTAATACAAGGAAAATTGCTGAAAACAAAAACATATATTACATATATATTTTTTCCCAATTGTACCAGTATCATAAAATACAGGCAGTTGTACAATGTCTCTAATTTGGAGTTAAAATAATTCATTTTTTCTCTACAAGTCAAAATTTGTGAAGATTCTGTATTTCTTCTATTTCCTCCAATTATAATACACAATACTGGAAAAAAAAAAAGTTTGTTTAAATCTATGTGCATATTAGGCTCTTGCAGGATGCATACCGAGTCCATTTTAGATTGAGATGTGTCAGCAATAATAAACGGTAATAGGCAATGTTATGTAAAATATGTAACATTGCATTTCTTGCAACATTATGCTGCATATTTTAAAATTACTGACACATTTCCTAAACTTACTGCAGGGAAATTTTGACCATTTTAATATTGCCAAACTTTTTTAATTAAAGCAAATAAAATCAGCATAAGCAGCAAAGGAATGTACAGTGCTGTGTTCAGTCAATTCTCATCAACGCTGTTGACCTTGTTAAATGTCTTTCATGTTTATTTATTTATTAATTTGTTTTTATTCCATGTATGATTTCTTGCCTTATTTTATAACACCTTTAATGACATTGATGTTTTGTTTCTGAAAGTTATGTTGATTAATTTAAAACAATGTTTTGGAGAAAACAAAGCAATAGTATTCCATAAATGTTTTTGTTTCTTTCATGTGAATTTGTTCCTATTATTATTTATTGCTTGTTTTTCTTTTTATCCATTATTACTCAGTAGATTCTTCCCATCCCTCCTCCCACCCTCCTTCAGCTACAGATGGTGCAGCAGGTGCAATTGCCACTGATAATGCAAATGCCAGCTTAGTCAATGGTACGTCAAGAACCCCTAGCTTGTTGTATTTGCTGGATTTCTCTCCTTTGTAAGATTCCCTCTTCCTCCTGTGAACTGCACAGATGATGTATGTGCATGTGTTTCCCCCTCTGAGCAATCCTGTGCCATAAGCTGTACAGTAGCTTATAAGAGATGCCACAAAGATGCTGCAACTTATTTTATTCATATGGAATTAAGCCTGGGAGTGGGACATGGAGGGACTTTGATCTCTTCGCCATTAATAAAAATTGCAGTTAGAAGAAAGAGTTATATAAGAAGGACTGGTTTCAAAACTTCTGAGTTGCCTTTGCATGAAGTTTCAATGTAAAACACTTTCTATGTTTATCAGCAGAGCTTTCAAGAGCACTAATAGAAGGATTATATATTCTTTTCTTTCGATGTGGCGCTCTCATAAGTATCCATATAGACCTCATATACTTTTGAGAAATAGTGTTGGGGTCAGGAATCTGCCTTAATTTCACCTTGAAATGCTTTAGGAATAACTTTTGCTATTCTGAGCACCTTTTTGTTAAGAGATTGAAAAGCAGTTTGTCTATTCTTGTGTGTAGCTAGTCATCAGGTAATGAGCTGTATGTCTTTCAAAAAAAAAGGAAAAAGGAAAAATACTGTAGTCGATTTTGACATGTCATACAGCTTCTTGGCCCCATTCCTTAGCATGCTAATATTTCAGCATCTTTTCTGATAGTCTAATCTAGTATTAAATGGAATGGACCACTGTTAGCCCAAGCATTAGAACAGCTGTATTTTTTCTGATAATCAACACATCTGAGAAATACTTTGTACAGTTTAGCTGATCTGATAGTGTGTTCAGCGGTGAACCAAGCAAGTCAAGTTACACCTGAGTGCTCTGAAATGGTTTGGGAAATTCCAGCAGTCTGGCTTCTGCTTATATTATGCATTGAATTTTCTAGTCAGCAGTGGTGATGTAACTACTTAAAATGTAGGGGGGCTGAGAGGAGAAAGGATTTAAAAAAAATAACTTGTAAAACAAGAAAATCAAGTTCTTATGGTTCGTATTTTTTCAGTCTGGAGGAAATTCTCTCTTTTTTTGCTGTTACTTGAGGATTTCCTTAAAGATATGGCTGAAAACAGTGTGTTTATTTAATACGTAATCTCTCTCAGGAGAAAGGACCTTAAGATAAGAGGAATATATGCCTCAGCATTTCCTGTGCTAAGTACACACTATTTTTTGTTGAAAATCAACACATAATGATTGCAAATACATTATTATTCACCTCTCAGTTATGAAAATACAACTGACAGGAAAATCTCTTTTATTTTCAGTAATGATACAGCCACATAGGTTTGCACGATACCTGTTGTGTAAAAGGATCTTCGATGAGTTGCATTGGATCTAGTAGTGAAGAGCTGGAAGGAGGTAGTGGTTTGGTAGTCCTCTTTGGTCAAAAACACCACCCGTGGCTGCGTGCAGATTTTAACAGCTTGCAAGCTCAGGCTAGGATTAAACCAGAAAATTTTGCAGAAAGGTAGTAATGCATGGAGAATCCTGTGATTTTGAAGTTATGCATTTATTTTAAGGAGAATATGGGCAGCAGCAATCACTGGATTCTCATCCAGCAGACTCTGGCCTTATTCCTAAATCAGGATTTCCTTGGACTGGGGAGAGGGGGACACTATTTCTCATACAGAAAGGCTATACTGGATGGTCGATGTCATTTTTCCCCTCCCCATATATAGATTGGCACTGTGCTTCTATTCTTACTAGCTGTAGCATATAGCCGACTTGGCCCCAAGACAGGCCTAACTCATTGCCATTGCAAGATGAGACATTCTGTGGTCCCCTGGGGCATTAGGAATTTACGGTAGGAGGTAACCAGGTTATGGACCAAGGCCGATCCCAAGCCGTTCCTGCGGTGAACACAGGACTCCTCATGGCAGGCAGAGGTTTGGGATGTCCCTGCTCACTGCCTCTTCACGGGGTGGCGGGAGGGAGAGGGCAGTCTCTCTTTTGAGGTTTATTTGAAGGAATAACGTTTTTTGTGGTGAGAGCTCTGGCAGTAGTAGTGTCCCAGCTATGTTCCCAGCAGAGAGACATACATTCTGATTAAGGTAGGTAACATGCAAGGTATTTTGTATGCAGTTTCACATATCAAAACCTTCAAAGCTGCTATACAACATCTCATGAGCCCTTCTTCCTAAAGCTCCCAACTTTTATCCTTGCCTAGAAAAGTGGAAAAAATAAATTTAGATCTTTCCCTCAGATTTTATGCCACCAGACTGTCCATTTTACTTGTTTATTTCCACAGAAGAAATATTTGCGAAAGTTATATAAAAATATGGGTAATTTTATATTCAAATTAATATTAAAATTAAATTCCTTTTCTCTCTCATTATTCTATAGAATGCCCAGAATATTTTCTTACTAATAGTAAGTGCAGCCTTAGGACTGAAGAAATTATTGGGAAGAGGAGGAAGAGAAAAATAGCTATGATGAACACTTCTCAACCTGAAACATTAACCTAAGTGCAATAGGTGCTGAGGTTAAGCAAGTAATAAGTATATTTATGTTTTATTAATGTTTGTCCAATCATTTACTGGTTATTTATATGCAATAAGGGTAGATTAAATTTTTAGTGCAATTCATAATGACAGTTATCATGCTCCTATTACACATGTATGATACGGTTAGTTAAGACATTCTGGCTTAGAAGAACAATGTATTTTGTTTTCACCAGTTATGAAAATGTAAAGGTGTTCTTTTGGTGAAGGATCTTTAACTCTACTAAGATTTTGATTTGTATTCTAAAGAAGGAACAGACTACGCTGCTCTAAATTAGTATGTTCAGTCTCTTAGAAGAAGGCTTTCTCTTTTAGCTCTCTGGATGTATTTTGTTTTCTCTACTAACTATATTAAAAGCTATTTTAAGAAAAAGAAGCAAGTAAGCAGATGTCAAGTTCAGTTATGAACATTTTCTTTTAACTATAATTTTTAGATTAAATAATAAGAAAGGGCAAATTTTAGTGTGAAAACAAACATTTTTTGTTCAGATTGATAGGTGCATGTCTCATGGAAAAGCATAAATCTCTGGAAGATAAATACACCTTATTTTAAAATCACAAGATATCCAAGGTGGGAGTAGGGTTAAAAATATAGATAAGCAGCTGATGCCCAGTGGTTTACATCAGCATATATAATAATACCTTTGAATACTAAGTTCTTCAATATGTAGCAAAACATCTTTTCCCTTACTTCCCTTCCAGAATTGTGCACTTCTAAATTTCTCAGGGCCTGCAGCCCGGTGGTAGGGGATGAAATGAACTGGTGATGCATTTGGACGAATTTAGCCATTTTTGTTATAGAGTGAAAATTAACACCTCTATCGAAGCGTAGCTTTTTTGATGCATATGTCAGCACCAGCTGTAGGAAGCTTACAGAGCAGGGCTTAACTGCTCTCTTTTTTATATAAAACCTGATGATACATTTCTTATTAATATGTGTATCAAAAATCAAGTAAAAATCTTTTAACTGTTAACTTTTCAATTGGGCATTAGAAACAACCACTGAAAGAAAATGCCAGCCATTGTGCATGTCATATTTGTAAAATCAAATGTATAAGATAAATTCTTATGTCACTTTAAGAGATTGTTACCTCTAATTTTTGAATGCATTTGAAACATTTCATTAGTTATTCTGAACCCCAAAGTTTTCTTACACTCAGTATTTTGCCATTTTCATGTCATAAATACACACTTGCAAATTTTACATTATCAGTTTAATAAAATCAAAAATGTTTTTGATGTGCTAAAACAAAACATAGCTAAAATAGAAAATTTAAAATTACAGATGCACCAAGCATATCTTTAGGATAAATCTGAATGCAGAATGAATAGCCAACCCTCATGTTTATAGCAGTAAATTGCCAAGTATGATAACCCTTATATTGGATGATGTAATTTTAAAATCATATCTGATTTTTAATTAAAGTTTAATTCTGTTACATTTATGTATATTATTATTTATAATTTGTCTTTACTAAAATTTAATTCTGGAATGGATTAGGAAATTCATGCCCTATATTGGTGTTACTTTATTAATTCCTAGTTGTCTGAAATTTCAGTTCAGGATTATTGTTCGAATTCTACTTCCTAGTAGATTTTTTAAATTAGCTCCACCCTCTTAGCTTAGGCAATTTGCTCAAAAGTATGCACCAATATTTAGTATTTTACTTGTTAAATACTGAATTTACCTCAGTTCTTTTTGTCTAGGTTGTTCACACAGCAGTGACTATATATGTAGAACTACCTATATGCTCACAATGGCTGCTGATCATAAATAAATATCTGTAACATGCTCATTACTTTTGTCTGCCCTTTTTATTTAAATTTCCATTGTCATGTTCTGTCCTGGGTGATGATTGTTTACTGTCTGTTGTCTGTTGAAATTTTCCATCATATAGGCAAAATGCAGGATGGGAATATGGAGAACAGCCAGAACAAAGGTAATCTTCTTTCATATTAAGCAGGTTGTGGGTTTTATTTTTAACATGTAATTAGATTCTGTTGAAAAAATAAAATGACAATTTGTGATTTTTGCCTATGTGTCAGATTGTATTTTTCAGAGTGTTTTGAAAAGAAAAGCTCTAGCAAAGAAATTATAATTTATAGGATTTTAACTTATAAGCTTCAGAAGAGGAAAATATTTGAGTTTCAAGTAAGGGCTTTCATGTCATGAAGCTCATTTTGAGTTCATTTTGAGTTTATTTTTCTTGTGAAACGTGCTATGTATTGTGCATATGCTATATATTATTGTTAGTGAAATTCCAATCCCATTTTTTGATATGTTGTGTCATCTATGGTATTTAATGGCACTGTATGTAAGCATTTTTATTTGTAGAAGTTCTAGCAATAATAAAAGGATATTTTAATGAAAAGAGATTATTTAGCAATTGAAAAACATATTATAAGGATGAAGATTAGAAGGATTAACAATATTAGGTGTTTCTTATTTAATGTATAACCTCAAGAAGAAGTTGAAATAGCTATTTCACTCCCTCAGAAGTGACTCTTGATTTCCTTTTTATTGTGATGCATCGACTGTCATGTTTTTTAGACTGTGTCAAGTAAGTAAATTAGTGAACTTTCTTTTCTTGGATCATTTTAAGGATCAGAAACTGACTAGATAAACTCAGCTGTTTATGATAACAGAACTGTTAACTGAAATGATACTAGGATGCAAAAGGATACTGAATAAATTTTAAGGTTAGGCAGACCAATCTATTTTCAGATTAAATAAGCATAGCTTTATATAAACTGTTCACGTCAAAACTGAGCAGATCTGTTTCATTTCATTCTGCTTAATTTGTTCTGTGTAAAACAGATACATACACATATATAAACTAGAATGTCTTTGCTTTTAAAAAGATGTTTTTTACTTGGATACTAAAATGAACTTTCCTCATATGAAAGCATTCTTGCAAGAAAGGATGGTTTAACCTTTAAATTACAGGTTTACATTTCATGGGAGAATGCTGGCATCTTCACTTGACCTGATGGTTAATTTACTTGAACATTGCCAGAACATTTCAAGCGTGGTTCTCCAAGTATGGTCCTCTGGTCACCAAGGTGCCCATGAGGTCAAGAGAAGTGGTGTGTGCTTCATCTCTTGAACCACATTGCCTTTAAAATGGTTTCAATAAAAATATGATTTTAAGGGTGCATTTATGAGAAATCCTAAAATTCAGGGAAATACATTCAACTTGCTCAAAAAATTTTGAGCTTCTATTCTAGAAAATTCTGCAGCACTGAGGTGATGTTACCTGTCAAGTAATTTGCAAGGGTAAGGGTGATATATATGTGTATATGTATACCACAGAATGTTACTGCTAGTAAAGAAGAAAAAAAAAAAAAAAAAAACAGCAGTTTCCATGGGGCCTGGTGAAGGGCGTTAATTACCTAGAGTGTCCATGCGTGCACACGCAGATCTGAACCCACGCGGGTGTCTGTCCGTGGTGGGAGCGACACGCAGCTCCGTGTCGTTACCTTCATCTGCGTTGTGAGCAGCCCTTGATGGGTGTTGGTAGCTGAACGCAGTAAGTACTAAAGCTAGGAGAGAAAAGAGGGAAGATGAGTTTAGGAGTAATGCTGCTGTTCTGCACCCTCAGCCAAGCAGCAGGACGGGGCTGCCGCCATGGAGATGCAGCCGCTGAAGAGTGCCGAGGGCGGAGAGGGAGACGACAAGGACAAGAAGAAGGCCAACATGCACAAGAAGGAGAAATCTGTCCTGCAGGGAAAGCTGACCAAGCTGGCGGTCCAGATAGGCAAAGCAGGTATGACTGGACAGCTGACCAGAGATAAGTGTGTAACAGTGGCTACGGTTCTAAAATTAGTGATTCTGAAAACAAGAATTGCTTTATTACAGCAATGGTTATAAACAGGTCATCATAGTACTGTTGTGAAGGCATTAAGTGAAGATACTTTATCTCCTAAAACTCAGCTTGGAGATTATAATGAATACTGGATTGAAACACAACTTTTTATAGTTAATATTCCCAAGTGCCGTAATTGCATGATATTTAATTTTCTCTCCTTTTAGAACTTCTGAGTACATGCATATCATTTCAAATTGCTATTCATGTAGCATTGCCTTGTTATAGATTATGGGATTCTGCTATTCTTTAATAACCGTATTCATGCCTGCTGTCTAAATATGACACCCTCCAACTTCTAACTTAATTTAAAAATAAAAAAGAAAATAGTAGGAAAATTGAATCTGTTATGCATGATGGGACTGTGTAAAGTTTGACTAGAACTACGAAAGGCTTTAAAAGCACCCGTCATCTGAGTTTCAGCGGTATCACTGCAAATGGCTTCGACTAACTTACAGCTTGATTATATCACCTGTACTTGATTTTTTAAAACTTTCTTATATATCTGTGTATATATATATATATATTCACTTATTTAATGATCTTCTTTTTTTTTCCCATTTCCTAGTGTCATCTTAATTACTTTTAATCTTCTATGTTTTTGTAATTTACCCAATGAGATGTTTATCCCTGCACAATTTTATCTTCACTTTAGGATATAAATTAGGATATAAAGTTAATTATCATATGGTAAATTCTGAATACTACATCTGTTAGCCCGCCCAATCTGAATAAATATTTGATATACTTTCCCAGAGAGTAGCTTTCTTAAAGTATGACTAAGAATGAATATGGAGAAAAAATCAAATTCTCTCTTGAATATTTCAGTTACAGAAATACAGTGCATTATCATCCATTTTCAAAATTTAAATTTTATTGCTCACTAATCTGTATTTTCTATTTAACAAAAATACTACCAAAAGTATTACACCGATTTGTTAACTATTAATAGAGTTGTTGATTATTATATCCAGTAACATCTCTTCCCTATCATTATCAGTTATCCTTGTTCTTCCGTTTATAGATAGAAAGTTAAGATCTTCCATGACAATAGAATCATTAATTTCGTTTTTCTAGTAGTATGAACGAGATCTTCCCTATCCAGATCCTTGCTTGGGATCCTACAATAGATTCATAATTTTTTCACCTATTGAATCTCCTTTATCTTTCTTCATCAGGGCTTGTTTTTACCCCTGCTATTCAGTGTCTTTCCTTTTTAGTTGATTGGACTCTGTTGATCACGTAAACCCTTGATGCGATTTCTTTCTGCCTGAATTTCTGACACTCAGAATCTCTCAGCTTATCATTTCTTTACTATGCAATTTCATGCTTTGCCCAGTTTCATATTCCTCAGGCTTCTCTTTTTTTTCTTTCTGGAAAAACAACATGGACATAAAAATACTTCATTTTTGGCCATCACCAATTTCTCATATTAAGTATCCTTTTACATTGCCTGCTCACTGTTCATTGCTATTATGGAAGGCATGTGGATGCCTTTAAATCAGACTGTGCCAGAAGCATTAATTAAGCATTAATAGATTGCTGCCTCACTTGGGTTTTACTTTGTCATCGGTGAATGTATGTGGATATCTGCATGAAGATTCACCTACAGAACATCTCAATGATTTACTCCTTTTTCTCTGGCATTTTCTTGTCTCCCTGGCTCATCCCATTTCAGCCAACCTTAGCATCCTTCAGCTTACCATTTTTTTAAAACTTCAGCCCAGACACGTAATTCACAGCATCGCTCTTCAGTTGTTATGATCTCCTTATGGAGAAAAGACGTTATTCTGAAAGGCAGGCTTAACCTTTTTATAGAAGCCTGCCAAATAACAGTAAGTAATCCCAGCAAGTCAAACTATATGCTGTAATGGAAAGCAGTGTACATCACTTGAACCCAGGAAGAAAATTCTGGAGAAGGAAGGTTATGTTAGCAAAGTGTGTCAATAAAAGAGCACTCTTTTTTTTTGTCCCTGGATCTTCTCTGATTTCTGTGAAACATTTATTAGTCTCCCTTCTCTAATTCTGTCACTGTTGTACCTCTCTTGGGCCACTCATCATAAAATCATGCACTGTTTGCATATTTTCCTTTTGAGAAGAGGAAGCTTGGAAACACAAGCATTTATCAATTTGTCAAGAATAAAAATAAAATACCTGTTTTGTAGGCAAATTCTGCAATATTACCTCATCACTGTATACAACCAGAATCCTCAGTAGGATTTTCTTTTCTGAACTATTTGACATAGCAAGATTAGCTACAGGACATTTTTTTTTCAAGCCTGTTAAGAAAGGCTTGTTTAAAAAGAAAGATGAAGAAATAACATGGTGTTTAAATATGTAGAGACTAGTAATTTGTAAAAGGCAGTAATAAAAGGATAGATAAATGTTGTATTAGGCAAAGCTTGAAAAAATGTAGCTTAAGTAATTGTAAGACGAATTAAGCTAGACTGAGTGAAAATTTCTAAAATGACAGTAAGGCAGTGCTTTAAAATTGAGCAGTACCATGCAGGTGTCCTGCAGGATTCAGTGCATTATTTGTTGTTTTAAATGTATTTGTTGTTTTAAATAGTAATATGCTTTTTTCTACCTTATGGAATTCATCGCTATTGGTAGAGGGTGGTAATAAACAATCTCCTATGGACTAGGAAAATAACTTGGTATCAAATTCAAGTGAAGCTGTTTTAAGTTGTTTATATTTTGCTTCATAGTGACTGATTATTTCTATTTTCAGGTTTGGTGATGTCTGCCATCACTGTAATTATTTTGGTACTATATTTTGCCATTGACACCTTCGTGGTCAACAAGAAACCATGGTTGCCTGAGTGCACACCTGTCTACGTGCAGTATTTTGTTAAATTCTTCATTATTGGTGTTACGGTGCTTGTGGTTGCTGTTCCTGAGGGACTTCCACTTGCTGTTACTATTTCTCTTGCTTACTCTGTAAAGGTAAGAAACATTAAAAATAATTATCAGAGAAAAGTCCTCTTCAGTTGAGTTTGCTTATGACTTCTTCAACTTCTGTCATATTTCAGGAAGACTGGTCTGTAAATCAATGGCATAAAAAAGCTACAGTTCCATGTGCTCTTCATGAATGAAGTTGCAGATGTTTATAGCCAAATTTAATTATGAAATTAAGAGGATTAAAATTTTGGAGTCACAGATTACTCCCTTATCTTTCTAGCAGTTTTCTCAGAATAACTTATCTACTCAGATATTCCTTCTGTAAAATTTTCATCTGAGATCTTAAAATGTTTCTAAACTTTTTATTTTGCATGTAAATAAATTAAGGATATAATGAATGAATAGCATAATTTACATGTAGAGAAACATACTATAGAAAAAAGACTAGGTCTCAAATACGTGACTTAGTTAATAAAAACTGCTGCTTTCAAAGTATTTTCCTATTCCTAAGTCTTTCACCCAACACATGCAGCAAACACATGGATATCCATACCTGTACTATCAAATTGTAAGACTCCATTGCTTATGGCTGGTGATATTGTGCCCTTTGAGTATAAAATACTCTAGGATTAAGGGTCAAGTGCTTGAAACATCCATTTTTCTTCTGGAATACCTTAGCTAATTCTTAATGTTCTTTTTTTAAAAATGCATGAATACTGCAAAGAATGCAGTAACTATGGCAATTCAGCACAGGGAGGGTGACTACTAGGTTGTCTAGAATGAGGGTTTGGGTTATTGGCCTGGAGCGTCAGAGCTGTGGGTTAGTGAACATCACATAATAATGAACGAGGCTAAACATAAGTGTTATTGCTTTTTCTGACTAATATCTAAAATCTGTCAAAGCAAATCCTGAAGGCTTTTTCCTCTTTTTCTCAGAAAATGATGAAGGATAACAACCTGGTCCGCCACTTGGACGCCTGTGAAACGATGGGTAACGCTACAGCCATCTGCTCCGACAAAACAGGGACACTGACGACCAACCGCATGACAGTGGTGCAAGCCTACGTGGGTGATGTCCACTACAAAGAGATCCCTGACCCCGATTCAGTACCCGCAAAAACCCTTGATTTGCTGGTTAATGCAATTGCTATCAACAGTGCTTATACGACCAAAATTCTGGTAAGTAGGCTTTTTTTTTTTTTTCTGTCAATAAAATGTAACATGGCAGAAGGTGGCGCTTACCTTGAAATCTTTAACATCTGATTGTTAATCATGAATGGAGAATTAGCACTAGGATTCTAAAAATGAAAGCAGAAATTATGAAAATTATATATTTTGTTTAAGAATAGGGATGTTCTTATGCATTAAAGAGCACAATATGTTTTAAAAGATCTTGTTAGCTTGGCATGGTCTGCATAATGGTAACTTTGCTCACATAATGTGTTTTCCTTGAGACTTCATATGCACAGAGTTATTTTTGTTTGACTAAGACGCTGCAAATAGTTCTTGGAAAAAAAAAAAACTAACTGGCTTGGTTGAATTAGTGAGATTAATGATCTTTATTAATTCCAGATTCTACAAGTTTTTTATTTGCTCTGTAAGGGAGGACAAAATGTGAAAAACATGTTTGCTTGTAGCATTATTCTTCTACGTGGAGATAATAGAAGGACTTGAGAGGTCAAGTTAAATCAAAGATCAAAATCAATTATCAGCTTATGAATTTGGGTATTGTTTTTATAGTTTTATACTGAGATATACACTAAAATGATGCCTGCACTTTGCATTGTTTTAAAAGTAATCTTCCAAAACATAGCCAAAACAATGGGTTGGTGAAATACTGAGTGCTGGAGCATTCATTTCCTTTTATTCTCAATATGTTTTTAGTAACACTGTAGATACATGGAGATGAGTAACAAGCAGTTTTGAGAAGATAACTATTTAGAGAAAGCTGACACCAATGTGCCAAGTGTGCTTGCTGAATGTGATGAAGGCGTTTGGAAATGAATGCTCTCGAGGACACTCCAATTGCATAGCCAGAGCTCATGTCCGAAGCCAAGGCACAGCTTAGGCAACCTTCCCACAGTCGTCTTGTGCCTTGATGCTCCCACTCTGCTCCTCTAATCGAAAGCTCCCCTGTTCTGTTTGAATGCTTGAGATTAAACACATTAGCCAAGCATTTCTGTTCAACTTCCATCGCAGGTCAGCCTCCCAGAATATCAGAATTTTAGGTTTTTGAGTAAGGAAGTAGGAAGGCATCAGCCTGCTTTCAAGTGAGATGTACCTGCAATATTGCATAAATCCAGTGTTCCTTCTTTCTCTGAGGCAACAGAATCATTTGACTGAAATCTGAGGGCCAGTAATAGTTCAAACATTTCCATTTGGTCTCTGTACAGTTTTGAATATTTTTGCTGTGATTTGACTTCATTGTTGCTTATTGAAATGAATTGCATGTGCCTGTTAGGAAGTCTTTCTCAATTTCAGTTCTATTTTAGTTCTCTGTAAAAGTGATAAATTGGTGAATTCTCTGGAAATCATCTTTGTTTCAGATACCTAACGTAACTATCTGAGCTAACCTGTGTAATATCAACGGTGATTATTTAGCTTTGCAATAAGGACCTTAAGAGAATACCACCACCAGAAGCAGAAGAGTTAGTTATCTTTATTGATTATTGCTGTAACATTTTAAGTTGGAAGGTATTGTTCCACGGTCCTTGTTAATTCTAGATCATAGATGAATAGACTAAAAAATGCATAAGGAAGTTATTTCCCGGTTAAAGTATACAGAATTATTTTTCTGACTGCTAACAGTGAAGGCATATTTGTGCATTCATTCTTAGAGCATATTTAATCAAGTTGTGAATATTAGCTCAAACCCAAAGGGCATATGTGTTAGGTCACTAAGATTGAATTTTGCATGTTCTATTATTAGTTATCTAGTTATGTGTACACTGCACATGCACTTCGTATGAACTTATGTTTGGAGTGATCGCATATGGGACCATAAAATTAGCAAAGATGCTCTGCTGAATGAGAAATGTTCTCTCTTGCATTATATTTTGATTAAAGGGCAATTGAACCATTCATAAAAAATACAAAAAGAAAATAATATAACTCTTTGAGATAGGATATGGATTTCCATGAGAAATTAAATACAAATTATTCCAGCTGAACAATAGAGTCATTAAATCTAGCTCTTTGTAATGTTTTCCAAGGATGAAGTATTAGCTGAACTGATTTAGCATTCCATTAGCTATACAGCAACTTTAATGCTGCTTTTATGCTGCTTTCTACAGAAAGCTTTTCTCCTCCACCCTTAAAATTATTGATAGCTTTTGCAAAAAGTAAAAAGGACACTGCATACACTATTGCATGAAGCTGGGGACTGTAAAACAACTCTTACTCTGAAAACAAAATTTGCATTTTCGAAATACTTCTATTGCACTTTGGATGGAAGTACCTTGATGTTGAGTATCGTGGAGCAGTAATGAAACAGAGACTCCAGGTAGCGAAACTAGTGATTGAACTCTTCAACTGGACTGTTATTTGCATAAACTGAGACTTAATCTGGAAAGTATTTCTTCAAGCCTCCGGACAACTGTCAGGAGTTACAGATGACCTACTTGCTGTCTCACCATGGTACTCAAACGATTTTCAGCACCAACTTGAAGGGCTCAGCTGAACTGGTTGCTGTCAGGGTCTAACATGGGTATTTCATCTGGTCCTGGATAGGAGCCTAGGGTGCAACAGAACTACCAGTAGTTGCATTAGATGAGTATCCTTTCCACTCTGATTATACTAATTTGGGGATTTGCAGTGATGTTTACTGTTTGCACAGTAGACAGCACAAGGCAGGGGCACTTGAACTGAGGATACGGAAAGAAACGAAAGATCTCATAGGAAAGTGTAAGACGTTCACTCCCTTTCACACACTCCAGCCAAAATATGAGATGAAGTAAGCATACATTAGCCTGCTAATAGATGTGTCCACCTTGTAAAACTTTTTGAACAAGAAAGACTCTATGAGACAGAGCCAGAAGGGGCAAATAAAGGAGGGAGGAAAAAAAATTAGTTGAAGCCAGTAACACATTTCCCAATGGAATTTTAACAGTAAGAGTGATCCTGAGAACGCAGCTTGTCTGCAGGGAGGCAAGGAGTGATAGGAGAGAGCCAAAAATTCAGCCATTACAGCTTTACTAAGAGAGAAAGGAAGCTGTTCATTCACCTTACTGCTTTTTGTGACACACACACACACACACACATCATCGCGGAGCGGTTTGGGAAGGCTGGCAGAACAGCTAGGTGATCTGTAAGAAAAGAACCATTAGTAAAAACTACCATCTACAATGTCAAAATGTTCTAATTAAAAGTAAGATCTTAGTACAACAGCTGCTTTGCAGGGATAGCTGAGATCTTCATGTATGTATAGGGAACACGGATGTGGTAGCCAAGCGAATAATTCTTCAAATGGGTGAAGAATTTTTGCATCCAAAAGTAGTAGCTATCTGGGTTGCATGAAGAAGCTATTTTTACTATCAGAAATGGTTGTAAAAGAGTTGTTCTAAGTGAAAATATTTTTTTATTACAGGAAAAATAAAAAGATGTAAAAGCGTTAGATTATTTCACTTATCAATTACTCAAAATTGGCGTATCTATTTGTTCTTAAAGAAAAAAATTCTTAAGCATAATATATAAATACTATTCAGACATTCAATTCTTCTTTCATTTTTTCTGATTTCATTACTCTTAATAGTTACATTTTCTAGGATGCTTTAAAGTTATTTGGGGGAATACAGAGTATTGAAAGAGGGGGATAAGTTTATGGGTAGTTTGGAAGTTTCCTACTGAATCATCTAAAGGCTTGGAAAGTGTATTTGTTTGTGGGTTTGTGCATGTGTATTCATGTTATGAGTGAAAAGAGGATGGAAATGTCAACTCTTTTCAGTAGTAGTTGCCCTCCTCTCTTACTGTCAAGCAGAGCACTCAACTTTTTGTGCGTGTGTGTGTCTTATAAAGTATTTTCAAAAAAGGAGAAGGGGATCCTAGCTGTTTAGGAAAGAGAGGTTATTTCCATGGAGTAAAATGGGCTTGGAGTAATTAACAGGCCGGATCACTTCTTCGCAAAGCTTGAAACCCAGTAGATCAGAGAGTACAGTCCCCAGCACAGAACCATCAGAAGTTCTGTTTCCTGAGGCAACAGGCAGGCAACAAGGGCAGTCAAGCTAAATGAACCTACTGTTGGAGCTGACTAAAATGCTCTCCTTTATTTGAAAAAGGACCATAAGGGATATAGGCTTTGTTCTCAAAAATACACTTTTAGTTTTTTTGGCAGTTGAACTGGGAAAGATTCTTTGCATGGTGGTTGTAAAACTTCTTCTCAAGCTGATGCCTCCATTGTCAATATGCAGATAAAATTACCATTTGTTTGTAATGTGCATGATGGTGCAGGCCTGCTCTTATTTTATCCCAGTAAGTTGACCCATCACTGCTAACAATGTCCCAAGTTAAAATAGATGCATTTGAAAAACGAGGGCAGAAATGGGGACAGAAAGAGTAAAAAAAAAAGTTTGAGGCAAGCTCTCATTTATGTTAATATTAAATGACAACTAAAGTTGGGCTGGCCTGAGTTCTATTTTTTCTTCCATAGTTCCCTTCTATTAACATTAAGCAGCAAATAGCAGGAGTAGTCCCAGTTGTTGACTTGAGGTCTGTGAAATGTCATTTATCAGACAGAGGTCTAGCTGTCAGTCAAGGTTGACTCGTCTGTGCATAAGCAGGTCACCTTGGGGGAAGAAATAGGAGTTGGAAAAGAGATGAGAACCACAGGAAGCAGAATGTCACAGTGAGGGCAACTGGAAAAGAAAGATAAAACTGGAATATAACAGGGAAGCATGGCTAGAGCCTGGCAGCAGCAGTAATTCCACCTACACCGCACAGCGCAATGTGCATCCATTTTAGCCCCTGTCTTTCTGCATCAAGTTCTTGGCCCAGCAGTCACAGGTTTTGTCCATAGGAAGGTTGGTACTAGTCATTTTGGAATGGTTTGAGTTAATTTTGGTGACAATTTGAGCAGAGGCCATCCTTCAAAATGATTTTCATACCTCTGCTTTCTTTCCTCAGGCAATGCGCAAAAATATACTGCAACTTTAGATCATGTGTCAAGCTTTCAGTGACTTGTGTTT